ATGTGAAAACGTATGAGGTATTTTACGAGCTGTATATGATTGGATTGTTTAACAGGTGTTCTGCCAACATTGCATCCACTCTAAATTGGGTCAAATATAAAACCATGAAAGTGATGGTAAAGTAGTATGCTTCAATTTCATCCATGAAGTTACTCTTAACTATTGGTTCTTGTTAGTTTGTAGATTAAACAACTATCACCGCTTGATTTTCATTTTCATTTTTATCCCTTGAAATTTTGGATATGGAGGACAACGACATATTAAATGTTACACACACACACACACACAATCGACAACGCGCTATGTTGCATATGTGACCTCCCTATTCAGCCGCATGTAGGCATCATGTGCACCGAGTGCCTAGGTCAACATAACTAAGGAACTCCAAAGCATGTCATCATCATCCATTGCCTAGATAATTATGTTGTGCTGTGATAGCTGTGTGAGTTGTGTTCAAGGGTTCAAGCCAACCATGACGTGTGGGCAACTACAAGGCAGCTCAGACAAAATATTTTGCACATGCAAACCCTTTTCTATTCAGGGGTCGAACTAACAATCAACTTTTCTTGCTAACTCGGAGAGCAACAATTTCAATTCCTCCTACTACAAGATGCGGTAGGCTGTGGACTTTTGGGCCGCTTGTGAAGCAACAACATAACTTTGATGAACCCTTTTACCCTCAGACAGAGATTTTGGATCCTCAGCTATACTGAAGGTAAAAAAAAATGTTTTTTTGGTTTATTTAATAATTTATTTTCTTTGTTTGAAGATGAGAAGGGATGGTGTAGGCCGTTTAACATTTTTCATTATGACTTTCTTATGCCTGTTGCAATTCTTGAATTGAATACTTTGAGGTTTATGTTTGAAGAAGTGTAGTTTCTCAATTACCCTTGTTGTCCTCGAGGGAAGAGAGAAGATGAGGTGGGAAGGGCCTAATTAGGAGCTACTTAGGTCTTAGGAGCTTCATTAGTTTAGTGGAAATTGTGAACTTATTTTGTTGTATTACTTCTGTTGGAATATTGCATACTTTTGTTAAATTATATATATATATATATATATATATATGTGTGTGTATGTGTGTTTTATTATTATTAGTTATTATTATTTTTTTGTGTTGACTGTGTAGTAGCTAAAATTAATAATTAGATGTTAGGTAAATGAGGTATTGGCACATCTGAAAGTGTTTGACCAAAAGGTCTTCACATGTATGGGCTCTCAAGAGTTTGATGGTCTAACTATATTTATACCAGCTATTTTAAGGCACTTTTCCGTGAGTTATACATTGATTTATTCCATTAATGCTAGCTAATGACCTGTGTAGTTTCGTTTGAACAATTGTTTTTCCTCTTTGAACAAGTGGATATTGGAAGAGGCTAATGATGTTATACTTGGCCTTTAATTTATCAAGCATCTACATATTTGAGCATGTTTCTGATATCATCAGGTACAAGTGCTCAATTCTTCCATAGTAGCCAAAGCTAGGAAGATTCTAACAATTACATGTATATGGATTTGTATATTACTTTAAAACAGTAGCATATCATATTGATCTTTTGGGCCACATACCAAATCTTGAATTGGTCTTGAAAATCTTTAGCATTCAGTTGAAAAGCATTAACATGACAGAGGTTGGACATGTTTGATTATTTTAAGTGGATGCTTCTTTTGTGATTTACTGATTGTCATTGTTAGAAGCGCTTATTAAAGCAAATTCCAGTGATCTAATTGTTATCTCTTCTATTATTCAATCATCAGCTCAATGTATCACTTGGTCGAATGTATTTACCTTCTCCTATTCAGTCACTAGATTACAATGAGCAGTATCGTATACCCTCTATATCGGGTTTTATATTTTTTTACGTTAGTTTGCGTGTGGTCCTGTTCTCTATATGGTAGGTTTAAATTTGCTAAGATTTCACACTATTTTGTGGTTTAGTTATCTTGGACTTTTAATTTGAGCATATTTTTGTTCTAGGGTTTCAATGTTATTTTTTTTTTTTTTTTACTTCATAGATATTTAAACAATTGTGTGTTTAACCAACACCAAATTTTCACTTGATTAAGAACTAATTTTGGGTCGGCTGTGCGTGCACAGCCGAAACCAAACTAGTATATATATATATAGGGGATTTGTAATTCTACATATTTTATTGATCAAACCATATTTTCATCAAATAGCTGTGCAGTTGTACTAATATATAAAAATATAAAAACAAAATATTAACTTCAGGTAAGATTATATTATCTTTCAAACCCCACACAAAATCTCAATTCTCGCTTTCCATCTACCGTCATTCTCTGACGACAACTTCTGTGATGCATCAACGGAGTCCGGCAAATCTGATTGAATTCCATTAATCTGCAAAGAAGAGAAGAAAAAAAAAAAAAAAAAAATTAATTGAAGAACAAAAATTACCAGGGGAATTGGAGATAAAGACTAGAATAAATGGAGACTGGAAATTTCAGCATGAATGCGGAAGATCTATCAACGATCGGCGGCATAGCCACCGTGTCCTTGCTCCACTCCTTCATTCCGACTCACTGGCTGCCGTTCTCCATAGTCGGCCGTGCTCAGAAATGGACTCTTTCTCGTACTCTCCTCGTTAGTATGTGGTTTTTTACGATTTTGATCTTTTTGATTAAAAATAGTGTGGTCTTCTTCTTGCTTGCGAAGGGAGAACAATGGTGTTAAGAGGTTTGGTTAGATCCAGGATTGAGTGCTTGGTTCTGCTTGTAACAATCTTGTCTGATGAAGCATATTATTATCAAGGAATATACTTCTAAATTGGCTGTTTTTTTTTGGATTTCACTGAAATTATTCCTTGCAATAAGACAATTCATTCTTGTTTATGTGATTTTTTGCATTATGATTGGATTACGCACATATGAAAGCTCCTTTGTGATTCTTATTCGATCTTCCAACAATTTCAGTGATTGAACCTGAAATGCAAATGATCACCAATAGCTCTTTCTGTTCCTGGTACTGTGTCCTTGATTACCAAATCATGATGCTAGAAATTGCTTGCACTCGACCCAAATGTTAGGCTCCATCAGATTACTTGATCACCACCAAATGTCAGCCAACGTTCGCAGGCACCGACACCTTAAATTCAATTGATCATTAGCTCTGTCAATATGTCTTATCTTTAAGAATGTGAAAGCTTTAAAGCTACGAAAGTTGTCTTTGTACTGGTTTCATTTCTGACTTATGTCGAACTTTAGAAATTTGGTTCGTATGGACTATGAGTTCTTAAAAACTTGTTACCTCTTGGATATTTGTAATGCTCTCGGACACCACAAAATTTCACATTCTTCTTTCAATTATAATACAAATCATTTGTGGATAATTTGATAAAATTTTGATGAATGTTGTTTTGTCTTCTGCATGCAGCTGCATTTGGGGCAGTTTTGCATGTGCTGTCCACTTCACTGCTCGGCATAACAGCAATCACCATAACAAACACTATAGCAGGGGAGGAAACTGTTCACAAACTTGCATCTTTGTTGCTCATCGTTCTTGGCGGAAGCTATATCATTTTATATCTCAACGGTAAGGGTGGCCACAGCCATTCTCACAACCAACCCATGGAGAAAATGGCCGTTGCCGGTCTTGTTCTTGTCCCTGCCTTGTCTCCTTGTGCAACTACTCTCCCAGTGTTTCTTGCTGTTGGGAACTCGTCATCTATGATGGTTCTCGCCATCATAGTTTTATTATTCAGGTAAAGAATCATATGCATTGCTGGAGTTTCACATTATTGGACTTGTTTGTGGGCATATTATTAGTGATTTACATCTTATGAGCAGCTATCCCTAGATAAGGTGTGATAACTTGAGATTTGGCTGAACTACAAAAACTATCTAATTATCTTTCAAAATTTTGAGTAATTCTTTTAAAAAGTTAGCACCACACCTTGAAGCTTATACTTATATAACAAGCATCCACATTTTTTGGGTTTCAGCTTCGAATTTGTATGTAAAATAGTGTAGAATCAAAAGTGTAGCGAGCATTTTTAATCTTGAGAGTTAACTAACTGGTTCTCTTTTATAAATTTGCAATTAACTCTTTAGTTAAATAGATGGTTTGAAAATCGATTTTATTCAAGTTATTTAATCAGAGTGAGGATACTATAATGGATCAATTGGCATTATTATTTTATGCTTATTTTGGTCTGCTATGATTTTCCTTCCACATTCCTGCAAAAACAGATTCAACCCCCACATTGGCAGCTTTTTAGCTGCCAAAAATATGGTGCGCCGTGCGTCTGACACAAACTTTCGATTTTTCATAAATTATCATTGTTTGAATATTCAGCAAAAGCTTAAGCCTTTTACCTAGTTGAAAAGAACTTCCGCTATCCAGGCTTGCAGTTAAAAATTAGACTTTAATCTCTTCAATTCTCTGAACTAGAAACAAACAATATCCTCCAAGTATTAATTGACTAGCTGGGTATTTAAAAAATTGCAGCACAATCACGGTAATGACGTCCCTGGTGGCTCTCTCGTTCTATGGGGCAAGCCAGCTCAAGTTCCACTGGGTCGAATGTTATGACAAGCTTCTTGTGGGCTCAGTGCTGTGTTTGGTGGGCGTTCTGACCCTCATTTTTCACGATCATGATGGCGACGCGAGTTTATCTGGTGAGCATCTGCATAGAAAGATTATTTCTCTATAAGGATTATCTTTACATTACATTTTGTTTTAGGTTGTGATGTATGGAGAAGGCTGCTGTTGTTTGTGCACT